CGATTTTCGCCCTACATATAAATATGATCCGGGAACAACGAGGTGGGATAGCAGGTCAGTGCACATAGTGGTTTTGGTTTTTTTTTTTTTTTGATATCTGAATTTATTTAATCGGATGGTGCGTTGTATTTTTTGCAATTTAAATTTAAATATTTTATGGTTATGAAAAAATTTGTAACTAAAAGGTAATAAGAAAAAGTAAAAATAAAAATAAAAGTTGAATTTGGGATGTTTTCTTACCACTGTTTTAGAAGTATCGAAGCAATCCGAATTCCCTAATTGATAGCATTTTGCTAACAGCAGCTTGCCGCTGCTACGAATCATCGGGGATCTAGTTTTTCTTAGCGTCGAATTCCAACCATCACAATTTAAACCTTGTGAAAGCGATCATTTGGTTTCATGAGAAAATAATGATAAAAGCTTACGTGTAAATTCAGTGAGAAATGTCGTGCGCCGGCTTGGTGCGATCGAATTTTGTGGTGGAATCGTGATGGCATGAATGTACGGCAACTGGCCTATGAAAGTGTTGAGTCGGTGATGTTTTCGGATCATAAACCGGTACGGGCAATATTTCAAGTAAAAATTCGAACAATTGATCAGGCTAAACGGGATGCGTGCTACGAGGAAGCAGTACGGGAAGCCGATCGACGGGCCAATGAAGCACTTCCACAAGTTGAATTATCACAAAACGATGTGAGTTTTCTTCTTTTTTTTTTCATTTTTTCACTGAAAAAATTTTGCTAAATTTCTCATCTTGTAGAACATATCGCATAGATTATTGGTTAATTGTTTATAGAGACTTAAACCTCACCTTCTTGTTTGGGAGGAGAAAGTACCCGCAGCGGAAACCATACTTTTATGGGCTGACTAGCATTGAATTTTGATATTGTTTGTGGGGATTGAACGAATTGAGTACCAAAATTTGTATGAGAGTGAAGCAGCGATTGAAGCGGGCCAGATTTGTGCTGAATTTGCAGAAACAGGGACGATGTTCTCGTGAGAATATTGTAAGAGTATCTTGAGATTATCTTGAGTATTTCATGTGAATATCTTGAGAATTACAACGGTTTTCGTGGGAATATCTTGAGATTCAAATTTTTAGGATCGTTCTAGTTTAGTACTAGTTTTTATTGAGCGGCTCCCACTTCATCAGTCAATGTTCATCGATACACGTAGCAACTTCTGTGTTCCATTTGGGCTTATTAAATCCACATGACTTCATATGGGCCCATTGGCGAGCCTTCTCAACTTTCACTGACCGTACACAGCCTTGTAAAATTTTTTTTTTTTGCCTTTTTCGGGAACAAATTTTTATTTCTGGCCCTTTTTTTGCAGATTGATTTTGGCGAAGTTTACTTCTTCCAAAGTGCCTCACGAATGATCACAATAAAAAATACTGGTAAAACGAGAATTGCATTTTCATTTGGCGCACGACCAAATCGTACTGCGGTTTGTGAGCCGTGGCTCTCTGTCACGCCACCAAATTCAAGGCTTCATCCTGGCGCTACGTGTGTTGTTAGTTTACAGGTAGAATCCACTCTT